TTTCACGTGCTTAATTTTTTTTAATCTTCCACTTTGCACCGCACAAGTCTTTTTTTTTGTTTACTAGCTTCCTGATCAATGTGTGGCCTTGTTTGGCTTTATTAGTATTTTCTTCTTTCTCTTGTTTGCTTATTGTTAAAAAACCATAATACCCTGGAAAAAACAACAATGACAAAAAAATAATAATTAAAAAGACAGAAACAACCCTTGGATGAAGGGTTGTGTAATTTTATTTATTTATTTATTGAAGAATAAAAAACTGAAATTATCCCTAGACACTGGTGTATACATTTTTGTCTCCAAAATATTTTTGCTCTTCATAAAAAATTAAAAAAAAAAATTATTACCTTCATCAACCATGCTAAATGTTATTTGATTAAGGAAAAAAGTTATCATTTTAATATTGTAATTTATAATAAAATAAGTTTGGTGATAGAATAAAAATACTATTTTTCACCCCCTTTAGAAATTTCTTATAGTTATTTTGTTATGTTATTAATTATTGTTATAAGCTAGAGGTTAATTAATCAACTTGTAGGTTCCAGGTTTACATTTTAAAATTTAAACAGTGATTTTAATTATGGAGGTTCACTATCCTGCCAGGTTTAGTAATTGCGATTATTTTATATTAAAATGAATTAAAATAATATTTTTTTATTTTAAAAAAAAATCTTTTTAAAATTAGTATATCAAAAAATATTAACTTTTTATAAAAATTAAAATTTTTAAAAATATAATTTATATCACATTTTCAAACATTCCCGTACATTACCTAATAAAAGGAGAGCTGGAAAATGCAGCTGCTTGGGAGGGAGGCGTAGAAGATGGAAGGACATGGTCTATATGTTATAATTATTTTTGGAATTGTGATAAAAATAATTTTTATTTTTAAAAGGTTTAATTTTTAAATTAGAATATGAAAATAATTTAAAATATACAAATAATTCATTTTAAAAAAAAATATTAATTTTTTAAAAAACATGATTCAATCACAGTAACAAACACAACATATAAAATACCATCAAGAATAATTTGTCTAGGTGCTGGTAAGAATTCATGTGATTTTTGTCTTCCTAATTTTTTATTTTGGCTTGGATTAAATTACTTTATTTAGTCCTTGTATTTTAGAAAAATAACTAGTTAGTCCTTTTAATTGAATAAATCCAATATTTAATACCTTTATTTCTCTTTATCTCTCTGTATGTATGTACATATGTAGTTAGTCCCTCTAATTGAATAAATCCAATATTTAATGCCTTTACTTCTCTTTCTCTCTCTCTGTATGTATGTATATATGTATTAATTTAGTCATTCTGTTTGTCTCCATCATGAAAATATATCTTTCGCTAAAATGTTCTTCATTTCAAGTTGGATAGTTTCAAATAATTTATGATTCTCAAAACTCAAAGGAGTAATATGCAAAATCATAAAAAGACATGGATTAACTCATAATCTATTCTTTATGATTTAAAGAAAATTCTTCTAGAATAAAATTTGTTTGAGATTGTGATAATGATTGTGATTAAAATATTTTTTCTCATAAATAAATTAAAGTATTTTTTAATTTTTTAAAAATTATTTTAAAAATTAGCACATCAACATAATTAGAAAATATTAAAACTTTTTTCTGAGGGAACACAGTTTCATGCGATCTATGCATATATTTGTTATCCAATTATTGGACTTGGAACAATTAGGTCATCAATTGTTCTTCATTTCAAGTCAAATTTCTTAATTCATCTAATTATACAAAAAAAAAAGCATTAAAAAATATAATTTGGATATTTTCAAATAATTTATGATTCTCAAAACTCAAAGGAGTAATATGCAAAATCATAAACAAGATATGGATTAACTCATAATCTATTCTTTATCATTTAAAGAAAATTCTTCTAAAATAAGATCTGTTTGGGATTGTGATAATGATTGTGATTAAAATATTTTTTTTATAAATAAATTAAAATATCTTTTAAATTTTTTAAAAGTTATTTTAAAAATTAGCACTTCAACACGATTAAAAAATATTAAAACTTTTTTATGAGGGAATGCAGTTTCATGCAATCTACGTATATATTTGTTATCCAACTATTGGACTTGGAACAATTAGGTCATCAATCAATTAATTTCATAAATTTAATCCTTAATGTTTTTAATTGATCCTTTCTTTTCAATTTTTTTTTAAATGTGATCAATGGAATATATTATGAAAAAGAATAACAATTTATAGGATATTCAAATTTTACAAAAGTCTATTAATCCAAATGATTGAGTAGCATTCTCATATTTTACATGTAATTAAAAATACTGACGTCATCTTCATGTTTTCAAAATATAGAATAAAAATTAATTAGTAAATATGTGGTATAGTGGTATTCTTATAGAAGCAAAAACAATGAGATCTTGACTGAAAAGCTAAGTTTTATTAATCTATAGTTGGCAGTAAAAAGAAAAATCATGATAAGTATTATTATATCAAATTATATTTAAATTTAGGCCTATTATTATATCAAATTATATTTAAATTTAGGCCTATTATTATATCAAATTATATTTAAATTTAGGCCTATTATTATATCAAATTATATTTAAATTTAGGCCTATTTAATTTTGGATAAAAATTTAGAGTACAAAAAAGTTTTGTTTTCACAAAATTAAAAGGATTTCATTTATTAAAACATTTTTTTGTATTAACAAAATTAAAAGGATTTCATTTATTAAAAAATAGGGGCATTTATAAATAAATAAAACATATATAAATCATGAAAGACAAAACTGGACTAATTGCATAATTACATTCTATTATAAAAGTCTATTGACAAAAAAAATTTGTGAAGCTAACAAATATTAATACAACCTCAAATATCTACATAATATTCAGTCAGACAAGAAATTCCTCGAATTTCCCTTCAATTGCAAATGTGATATTTGGTACAAGATTAAAAAATGAAAATTAATCATTACAAGATTAATTTTTAATAGTATAAAAACTTATTCTTAAAGATATTTGGTGTTTTGATAAATCAAAGGGTAAATTGTATTCAAATATCGATAGTAACTTGAGAGAGAGAAATAAAAATTATTTGATTAATTGTGTATTTTGATTTAAAAAGTAAGAAAATAGTTTTTTTTTATTTTTTTATTTTCTGGGATGTTAAAATTTAACCTAAAAAGATCCATTTAGAGAGTAATAATTACCCTCCTTGCATTATCTTTATACCAAACATATTCATATATATCTTTTCTAAACATATTTTAGTTAAACATATTCTATCATTTTTCACGATAATAAAATGAAAATTTGCTATTTATTATGTCCAATATCTCTTGTTTTAATGACTATGAAATATAATTTGATGATATATAATTAATTAATTAGATCAGAGTATCATATTTCTCGAGACTCAAGAGTTTAATCTTATGGAATTAATTGAGTTTTGCATAATTTTATTTACGGAGTGTTATGTATTTCAATTTCTTGTTTTAAAAATCAGTATTTTTCATAAGCGAAAGAGTAGCAATATCGATGCCATGTGCTTTCGATATTAATTAATATGCGAACAATAAGCACTCCATGAACTAAGTTCACTGGAGGACAGTGCAGGAGATAAAAAGGAAGGAAATCTCATGTGCTAGTTCTCAAGAAAAATAAATTAACTAATCTCACTTCATTAAGCTACAACACACACACAAAAAAAAAAAATATATAAGGAGTTTAATTTGGAAAATTCATAAAAAAAATAAAAAATTATATAAGGAGTTTAATTTGGAAAATTCATGTTTCAAAAATTACAAAACAAATCATTATTATGGTTTATATTAATAACTCAAAACCTAACTTAAGTTTATTTTTATTTTGAATTGATTTTTGACATTAATATGGTTAAATCTAAGTTAACTTAGCTAAATCCAGTTTAAACTCTGTTAATTTAAATCATATAATTAAAAAAATTAAAATAATATAATTTTAGATAAAATAATAGATTCAAGTTGATTTAACAACTTATAAATTAACATGATAATATAATAACTCAAGTTATAAATCAAATCAGATCAGATAATAAATCAAATTTGACAATTACAATAACTAGAACTCAATGTTATTTTCTCAATATATCTTTTTAAATTAGCCCTTGTATTTTTATTTGGCATTGTGATATCATGTGGTTAATTAGAGATGTTTTCGAGTTAATTAAGGCTTTAAAAGTTATTTGATTTTTATTGTTTAAACTTGTTTTTTAAATTTTCATTGGTAATAATTTATTTGAGTTGAAAAAATCTATAATTTATAATTTTTTTAACCTGTTTCTTTAACAGCAACCATAGTAATTATAACAAATATCACACAGTCTTATTACAAGACTTTAACACACCCTTAGAGCTCAATGTTATTTTTTCAAATTAGCCCTTGTATTTTTATTTGGCATAGTGATACCGTGTGGTTAATTAGAGATGTTTTCGAGTTAATCAAAGCTTTAAAAGTTATTTGATTTTTATTGTTTAAACTTGTTTTTTAAATTTTCATTGGTAATAATTTATTTGAGTTGAAAAAATCTATAATTTATAATTTTTTTAACCTGTTTCTTTAACAGCAACCATAGTAATTATAACAAATATCACACAGTCTTATTACAAGACTTTAACACACCCATTCATCTAATAAAAAAAACAAAAAAAAAAAACAAAAAAATAATGAGGCAATAACAATGAGAATATTATATATAGAATATTTGAAAGTATATATATGGTCATGTGGTGATCAATCCCATCTTGGTTGTGCTTTGGATCGAATTAAGACACGGCAGTGATTAAAACTAGCCGGCAGTCATTAATTCAGAAATTAAATTAATGCAACTTGAAAGTTCAATTATATGAGAGTTGATGAGGATGTAATTGAAGTCAAACTTAAAAATAGCCCCTTAAACTATAACTCAAATTTCAACCGAATCCTTTAAGCATAAAAAATAAAACATGGCACCAATTTTCAACGAGAAACATCAAGCTCATTAAGAAAAGCTATGGATTTTCAAGCAGTAAACCACAATGTTCCTCACACAAACATTGATGACATCTTATAACACTATCTATTCAAGCTTTAACATTAACATTAACATTAACATTAACATGCATATAGTTTGAATTTCTACTAGATTTAGCACCATTTATATGGTCCCATGACCTCATGTTTTCGCATCTAAATGCTCAGCAAAGGCCAATTCCCTGCCCTCTTGCGGTTTCTCACCTTCAACCTTTTTGTACACAAAACTATGAGCAACCCATAAATAAACACAAAAATTTAGAGCACTCAATACAGCCAAGATCCAGTAGAAGTAGTCAACATGGGCACGGTTAAGATTGTTGCCAAGCAAAATGCCACTGGACCTTGCTGTAATAGCCTGCACCACGGTTATAATTGCAGTGTTGAAAAAGCTCCCAAGTCCAGTTACACTTATATATGCTGCAGCTCCCATGCTTCTCATCGATTCCGGCATTTGATCATAGAACAATTCTTGTAATCCAACGACCGTGAACACATCTGATATTCCACTGATCATGTACTGCGGAAGTATCCACCAGACACTCATTGGTATTGTTGCTTTTGGGATGTCCATTAGGCCATGCTCTCTTGCAATGCTAACCCTCTTACCCTCTACTAGAGCTGCCACTACCATTTCCACAATAGACAGAAACAGGCCAATGCCAATCCGTTGTAGCATTGTTATACCGGAGCTGTGCCCGGTTATTTTTCTCGCCGCTGGGATGAAAACACGTTCGTAAAGTGGGATAGTGAAGAGGATCGTGAGGCCTACGAGGCTTTGAAATGATGCTGGTGGAACTTGGAAGTCTGGTCCTATTGATCTGGTCATTGTGCTACCTTGCTTGATGAAAAGAGTGTGTGTTTGAACTATCACTACAGTGAACATTAAGCAACTTAACCAAATGGGGAGGAGGCGCAGGACAAGCTTTACTTCTTCCACTTGGTTGAGTGAGCACAGCCGCCAAGGGTTCCTTGTTTTGCTCGAGGCATCTAAATCGTCAATGACCATGGCCTTGTCCAAGAACCTGAATGATCAACATGTTATTTATAAGCACGACAACTCTAGAAATTATGGATATAAATAATATGCAGTTCTCAGCAATTTAAAATGAGATTTCTTTAATTTTCATACCACTAAGATTTTCTATTATTATCCTAATCTCAGCAAGTCATAATTGATCATATATATTTTTCGGTGTTATATGGTCTGGCGTATCTTCGGCCAACCTACGCGCGAAGACTATCTAGGTCCCTCTCTGATCTGGAAGGTCTTGATTTCACTGGAGGTTGCCCTTGATTCTCTTTAAGAGAAAGCAGAGAAGCAAGTAATCAATGATGTAATGCTACCTTGGAATTAAGCAAACAAAAAGGACTTGATGCTACCTAATGGAAAGAAAGAAAGCTATCAGTGATTTTATAGATGGTAGGGCTTGATTCTGTTTTGGAGAGAGCAAAGATTAAAGTTGCTAACGGTTTTTGCAGAAGTTAGGCTTGATTCGATTTAAGAGAAAGCAAAGCAAAAGGGATGGATAGCTGATTCTACCATAAAAATGAAAGTTTTAGCATCTTTGGCTGAAGGGAGGGTAGGAATATTTGTTTGCTATAAGAGAGTGTTCGACAATCCAATATATATATATATATATGTATGTATATTTATTGCATGATATGATCATAAATAATCTAAAAAAAATTAATTTAAATAAAAAAATTATATATAGATTAAACTGAAAAAATAATAATATTACTTTACTTTTAATAAATAAATAAAATAAAATAACTTTATATTTTTTTACAGATAAATCAACAGAACATGGGTTGGCTCCATTTAACTTAAAAAGAAGCAGCACACTAATAATTTAGGTACAGAGGAGATAATATACTGTTATTCTTGAGGTGCTGGAGTTTCAGCTAGTCCATGCCTACCTCACCATTAACAGACTAGAGTCTTAAACTCGAGGATTCAACTGAATTTTTATTGTTACTTGAATTTTTTCGTCGACAGTAACAGAAGCTTGGTCTTGAAGAAATTATTATGTTTTTGTAGTGTTTGAAGTCAGAACAGTGAGTCATTATGCAGGCAGTGAATCTCATCAATCCATACATAAGATGCCCTGCATGGTTGCGTTTTTTCGCCTACAAAGCAGCAGCGCCTTTTCTGATCAGAAAATCCAAATAAAATCGCTGCCTGCACCCTTGCAATGAGGATTTTTAGGCCAATGAATCTAGCCTGTTTAATCCTAGTCAAACCCATTAAAGGTAGCCATGTTCACTGATATGACCCCAACCAACACCATTACCCCCGTTGTTCTTCAATTCAACATAGCAATTGAGGATAAGAGGATACTTTTACACTAAAATAAGAAAATAAAATATGCTTGTCTTCTGAATGGACCTCTACCTGAATTGATTAGTGGCTGCCAAAGTTCGTTTCCGGGGTTGACCTTCGATGTCGGTCCCACCTGCCTCATAACATATGCCCCACCCTTGTCGCGTCTGGACCACTCGCCGCTTCCTCGTGGCTGCCACAAATACTTGTGCCACCATAGTGAAAGGGCTTCCCACTGGAGCTTGTTTCCTGTATCTCTTAATTCCTATCAAGAAAATGAACAGTGCCACCCCTAAAGCTCCTGTCAGGATTCCAATTCCTGCTGTCCATCCGAGATTGTCCTATTCACATACTCACATTTGAAAACATCGATTATTAATCAATGCCACGCATTTGGAACATTAATGATGAGGTCTTTGGTTCAAAATGTCGGAAAACTTGACAGAACTAGAAAGATTAATTTCCGTCGATAGAATGAATGTTTTATAAGTCAAGTGACACTCTCATTTTGAACCGGAAACCTTGAAATAGTTCAAGAACTTGGTTACCTGGATATAAATAACCACCAATATAGCTGAAGATGCACCGACCACTATGCCTAAGTACCACCAGTTGAAGAATGAACTCTTGGCTGCCTTCTCCTCTGGCTCTTCCTCATCAAACTGATCCGCGGCAAAGGTCTGCACACTAGGCTTGTGACCACCTTCACCAACAGCTAGTATGTAGAGAGCGATAAAGAACACAGCCTCCCTGTAATGCGTAGGAATTACTGAGACTGATATGGTCAACAGAACCATCCCCTGTGATATAAAGTCATGTGAGCAAAATCACCAGCGAAATCAACTGCACAAATGAACATAATAAAGAATAAACCTAGAAAACAAGGTCAGTGAAGTTAGCTAGCGGATGTGCTTTGTACATTATGACTAGGTTTTAAATCCATATGCTCAAGGAACAGTTAGTTTAGGCAGGAACTGTCACGCACCATGATTCTTCAATGCAAAGAGATTTATTTTTTGTTTAACAGTGATCAGCTTTTTCCGGTTTATAAAGAATGATCAATTCCTGATCAAAATCAGGGGAGTTAAAATTAAGTGGTAGCTAGGGAACATACGACGAAGTAAATGGTCGAAGACAGAAGGATGGTCTTGAAGCGGCCAAGTAAAGAGTCAGCCACAATAGCTCCAAAGATAGGGAAGATTGCCGAGACACCAACCCATGTATTGATGTTCTTGATGGCCGTAGAAGTGGACTGATGAAGATCATTTGTGAGGAATGTTATGAGGTTACCAGCCAAACCATAGTAGCCAAATCTCAGAGCCACCTCAACAACTGCAGACATACATGCATAATGAAATGAAAATCTTAAATGTTAAGAGAGGGTGAAATTTTATTCAAAGAAGAAAAGGATGAAGAAGTAGTCAGCTTACAGATAATGAAGATGGCAGCATTCCAGCCACCTTTGGAGGTTTTTCGTGGGGTGGAGACAACCTTGGTCTCTGCTCGGCCATTTTGTGTCATGATGGCAGCAACGGTGCTATCCATAGAAGGTTGTGAGAATTTGGACTTGGCTAGGTGGGGGATGGTGTTAGGCAGGGAGGCCTTAATTTTACATGGAAACTCTACCTCATTACTTGAGTATTTATAGAAGTTTTTAAACTTATTGCCACCAAGATGCGGGTGTTTGGCACAATTTTTATTTTTATTTTTAGGTATTTTTTAAAAGTATATATTTTTAGCTTGAAAAATATATTAAATTGATATTTTTAGTATTTTTTTAATAATTTTGATGTATTTATATTAAAAAATATTAAAAAAATTATTTTAATATATTTTTCAAGTGAAAAGCTGTTTTAAAATACATCATGCATTATAATTTCAAACATCCTTGTAATCAGACTAAGGATTTATTTATTTGATGAAAAATATTTTTTGAAAAAGTATTTTTCTGATTTTTTTATATTTGATTATATTTTAAAGAATTTGTCAATGAAAAAAATGTAAGATTTAAATGGAGGAAAATGTTTTTGAAAACATATTACATGAAGGTTTAAAAACTAAAATTGTCTAATATTTTATTATTCTTTTATTATTATTATTATTATTATATATATATAATACTTTAAAATATAATATTATTAGAAAATAATAAGTTATAGTGTAGTTATATATAAGAAATAATATATTAGGATATCTTGATATACAATATAAAAATATATTAATTTGATATATTAGTACATATAATACTTTAATTTAGATAACATTTCCAAAAAAAAATATTCAAGTACAAAACAAGTTATATTATACAATAATCAAACATTTTGAATCATATAAATTATATTATAAAATTAGGATACTATAGAAAAAAATTATTTTCAATGTTCTACAAATAGAAAAAATGTTATAATGAAAATAAAAATTCTACTATTTTTTTTTAAAAAAGTAATAACTCAAAATGTATTATTTTCCTACTTACTTGTTTTATATGCTCAAAAATAAAAATGATTTCTAACTCATTTTTCATTAAACATTGAAAAGCAATCTATTTTCTTATAATTTTTTATGATGTTTTCAAATATTAAAAAATATATATTTTCAAGAATTTATAAATTATTTTCTAATGAAAAAGAAAAAAAATTCCATTTGATCACAATCAAGAATTTATAAATTATTTTCTAAATAAATAAAAAGAAAAAAAATTCCATTTGATCACAACAAAATATCAAGAAAGTGACCATCTAATGACTGGTAAGAGCTTGGTCCCAGTGATAAGATAAGGATACCATCCTCTATATATATCAACTTGAGTAACTTGAAACATAAAATTGAAAAAAAAAAGCATAGAAAAGAATATGAATCAACATTAATTTGTAAGGAAATGAAAAATAAAAATAAAATAGGAAATATATTTCTTCTCAATTTAAGTAAATCAAAACATATCATTTGATCAAATGATTTTCTTTTAATTTCTCGCTTATATTTATAGAAAATTAATGAATTGAATTAGGGTATGGATTTGCTATCAATGTCATATATATATGAGCAACATGATCCAGAAAAAAAGGGATATTGTATAGTGATATGTTCGGATTAATCCAAACATGATTAAAAAAAAAACTGATTAACTAATACATTTTGAATTATCCAAGTAATATATATATGCTTTGACTTCATCATGGATGAAATCCTTATAACTCAGTGGACGGGAAACAAATAACACTTTAACCTATTTTCTAATAAAATAAAAAGGTTTCATCTTTGCCAGGAATGGCCAACCAAACCATATGTCCGATGTTTCCATATCACTGCCAGATTAAGGTATAGAACAAGTTTAAGATTTCGAGCGGTATTTCGATGCTTGCCTCTGCCATTTTTGTTAAAGCGTATTTTCAGGTTAACTTGTGTGTTCATAAAATTATTTAAGAAAAGATTAAATCTTTTCTTAAATAATTTTATGATCGTACATCTCCTAATTACTTGGTGCATCAAATACATTTAATAAATTTATCCGAGTGTTGTACCTAATAACCGAACCCTTCTCATCAATCATGCAGTACTGTTTTGTATTTGGTAAATAATTAGATATATTTTCGTGTTTATGGTGCATCTAAAAGCAAAATTACTCTCAAACATCCCTAATAATAGGATTGTTGCATTGCCCTCTATTATTGAGAGATTCATGTTACGGTGGATATACTTTTTAAAAGTATTTTTTATTTAAAAATTATTAAATTGATGTATGTTTAGATATTTTTAGATGATTTTAATGTCCTAATATAAAATATAAATTTTTGTAATTTTTTTAATATATTTTTAATTGAAAAGCACTTGTCGAAAATAAATTACACTATGATATCAAGCACACACTTAACCAAGAGAAAAAAAAAATTATTATGAGTTCAAAAATTAAAGAGAGATATTTAAATATTTAATTTGCATTCATTAAAGTCTCACTTTGCCAAAAATCCACTACAATTTTTTATATAGAAAAAACTAGAAAACCTTATTAACACTAAATGAGAAAAAAGGATATTCCTTTCAAATAGAAAAATTAAAAAAGTCTAGTAATACTAAATAAGAAAAACAATTATAAACTAAAAAGAAAGAAATTAAAATAATTAAATAAAATATTTTTTTCCCTAAAAATCTCCTGCATTTGTCTTCTAGGGTTAAAAAACATTCGTCCTCAAGTTCAAATTGTTCGTGTGATAGATCTTGGTTAATTGAAAATCATCATCCATCATGAAAATATCCAATATGATATTTTTCAAGTATAACCTTTCTAATCCAAAAACCAATAATTTTTTTGTATATAGATTGCTCCGTCATGAGTCTCATCACTAGAACTTTTAATAATAACACATAATAATTAACCATTAGCTAAGTAAAAAAATGATGTGAATCTTTGTTAACTTGTAAAACTTATAACATAAACCATTTGATCGAAAGCATAAACCTATAAAAACTATAAAGCTTATTTTTTAAAAAACTCTAAATATCAAAGGATAAAATTGAAAAAAAAAAAATCAATCACATAAAATGATTCAAAAGAAAAAATAGCAGTTGAAAAAATAAAGATCAAATTTTAAAAAATAAATAAATGAATGGATAGATAAATTTAGATTAAATGGTTAAATTAAAAATAGCTAAAAGAAGAGAACACAAAAAAAAAGGGCTAAATTAAAAAAACAAACAATTGCTATTGTGACCTTAGAAGGGCTAAATTAAAAAAAACAAACAATTGCTATTGTGACCTTCCATATAAAAAAAACTAAAAAATAAGGATTAAATCTTGAATGGCTAACACGATTTTCAAGATTGAAGAGAAAAAAGAAAAAAAAACATTAACAATAATATGTTTAATGAAACCCAACACGTGCCACCTATAAAGAAAAAAGATATCGTTAGGAATTTAATGACACAATGAAAAGTAAATTTTTAACTATTGGACGATAATGCACGTGCCACCAAAGCATTGCAGGGCCTTCTACTTGTCTAAAAAGCATTTTTTTATTATTATAAAAGATTATTTTACCCCTCTACTAACCTTATAAACACACACATACAGATATATATATATATATATATATAACCTAAGTGAAAATATAAAAAATTCCCCTATTATGATAAAAATACTATTTTAGTAAACCTATTATACTAAAATAAAAATCTCAAAAAAGTTTCTAGAAACCAATTATATGATTTTTTGGCTTTCAAGATAATGAATTTATTTTACTGTTTTGGAAAAGTAGAAAAGATGTTTTTACCCCAAAAAATAAAAAAGATAAATGAATCATATATAAAAGACTATTTTATCCCTGAACTTAGTTTTTTTGACCGATTTGATGAAAATAAAAAACATCATTTCACTATTATAATCTCCAATAAACTTTATATAATGTTACCTTGAATTTTCATACCCTGTATACTTTGTGTAATTAGTAATCATTGAATTCTAATACCAAATTATGTCAAGCAAAACAAAGAATAACAAATTTTATTACAAGTTAAAACTCTTAAAAACTAAAAACATCATAACTATGAGAAGATATTCAAAATATTTAATTTTTATCCATTCAATTCTCATATTTTCAAAGGTTTGTTACAATAGTTAATATAGAAAAAAAACTAAAAACCCTAATACTAATTAGAAAAATAAAAACAATAAAACTACTTCCTACAAATAGAAAAACTATAAAAATATATTAATATTGAATAAGAAAATAAACATAAAATAAAATAAAATTACTGAACTAAAAAGTTAAAAAAATCATTTATTCTTCCAAAGCTTTTATATCAATTATTAATATCAAAACATGTATTCTATAAATTAATTAAACCGATATGTATTTTCTCTCTCTTAATTATGAGTTTGTCTTCTTATTTTACAATGGAATAAATTTTGTATATTCAACTTTTATTTTTTTTCAATACAAATTATTCTTATTCTACTTTTAATAAATTTTTAACAGGAAGAAGTCATATGTTGTTTGGAAAAAAACGATTATTTGCCTTTTCTTATAACACTAATTAAATTTTTATTTGTGTTATTAGAATACTAAATATTTTATGAAACATTAAAATACTAAAATTTATTAATATGTAAGAACATTAATGGTGAGATGCATATATATATATATATATATAAGTTATTAAATGACTTCACTGGAAAATTAAAAAGTATTTTTGAATCCTCCACTGATGCCATGTAAGATTGAGGTTAAGAAATGAAAGAAAACTAGAGTAAATGTGAATTAAGTCAGCTCCCTCCCTCTCGTCTTCATTGCCCACCATATTTCTTTTTCTTCTTGAGCTACTTTCTCATTTAGGTCAACATTTTTGACCATCCACATCAGAAATGAAAATTACAAGAGATATCAACTTCTTCTATTGGGTCTAACATTTCTTTTATATATATATATAAAATAAAGTTGTTAAACCCGATTCGATTTATAACTCAATTTAAAACTATTTATCTAAAATAATATTTTTTTAATTTTTTAAAATAAAAATATCAAACAAAAGTTTTAATTGTATTAATGGAATCTGACTAGATTAATTTTTATTGATATAATTTGAAAATCAATTTAAACCAGGTTATAGATTAAC